ATAATTAGGCTCACACCCGAAGTTACACATTGAACTCCTGTCACGAAAATCTAAGGATAAGAAAGATATTCATGTTCTATAAATGCTAGACGTTATAGACTGGAGCTTTTGTTGCAGAAGATGTGATATTTGTTTGCGTGTGGAAGTAACCCAACATCACGGATAGTATATTTGCTTCGTATTCCGATAATCCCGGAGTTAAATTCCGGCCCGGAGACGAACTGAGGATTCTTGGGATTGTATTCAGTCTATCCAGCCAAATTCTGTTGTAGAATTATAAATTTTTCTGTATAATTGTGTTTTAATGCCTGTCTTCGAGGTTGTTGCGTCTTGTGGTCTGGTATAAATTTAATGACGTTTGAAGCCATATTTAACTGTCATAACTGTAACAGTTCCTCAGAAGGAAATTAAGACTATGTAATTATAAAAAAATATAACTAAAATAAATACACAAACTCACTGGTCCAGGGTATTCGTTGAAGGTAGCACAATCAGTCGGCTGATGAAACCGTTCGTCAATTACTGACATCGTTAGCCAGAGACAACTGACTTGGCTTGCTTATGTTAGTAAGAGAAAGCCGATAACACAATGATTCTTTTAACACCGAATACACAGACAAAAGAAAGTATCACATAAAATAAATAAAAAAATTACCGGAGTTAAAAGTAGAATACGAAATTTACATACGGCAAGTAATCGACAGCGTAGTTAATATGACAGCTGTTAAAGAAATGCCCGAATTTGTGTGGTCGCCCACATGCCAACTGCAAGTAGATAACTGTATGTGCTTCCGCTGTTGTGTCCAGAGCATGTGAGCCCACCGGATGGCCTTCCCAAGGTCACCCTCCGGAACTTCATTGTATTTATAATAGTCTTCTTATGGATTTAGTCACTTGTTACTGAAAACGGAACTACCGCCATGCCTGGAATTGTTAGTACACAATAGATTGTTATTTTCCAGCGGTACTGATTATATTTTGGTTAATTTGTGATCGGACGAACACTCGTTTCTGTTACGAATAAGGTATTAATATCGTCACTGTTAAGGGATTTTCGAACTGTTAGGAAAATGGTTATATTTCTAGTTGTGTGTCTTGTCGCCTGAATTATTGTGACCGTTGCCATTTTAACGTCTTTTCGCTTGAATTATTGTGACCGTTGCCATTTTAACGGTGTTAGTTTATTCTAGGTTTTATGGTTTGCATTGTTCACCATAAAACTACTGTCTCCTACGTCTGGCTAACAATTATTGTCATCGCCTAGATTTTTTCAGTGTATTTGTTGGTGATTAGTATTGGTGGAAATTAGTTTCTAGTATTTTGAGGCTAGGGGTTAGAACGCTGGTCTTGTAGTCCTGGGGTCTCGGTTTCGATTCACGGCGGTGCCCGAATTTATAACTTATGTTGGGCAAGGCCGTGGTCTAGGCAACACGGAGTTTTCCTCCGTGGCATCCCAACAATTACTCCATTCACACACAGAAGAAGGCAATGGCAAACCACTTCTCGATCATCTGCCAAGAACTTATATGAACAGGTCCCAGTCCGAGAAAAGGATGGAAGGATCCTGTTCATAGGGACCTGTCGTCACACAGAACACTAAATAAGGCAAACCACTTCTGGATCATCTGACCAAGAACGTATATGAACAGGTCCCAGTCCGAGAAAAGGATGGAAGGATCATGTTCATATGGACCTGTCGTCAGACAGAACACTAAAAAAAATAAAATAATAAAATATTTTGAGGCAAAAACTGAGACTGGTAGACGTTCGTCTGGTTCACTGTTTAGTATAATATCTAAATAAAATGACAATTGGCATCGTGTTCCACCAGTATTTATAATAATTATCTTACAAAGTATTAGGTAGATGATCTGTGGATTAACGTCTGTTCATTTGCATTGTTTAGAATTTACGAATTTTTGATAAAATTTAAAGAACTTGTGTCTCTCCTCAGAAGAAAACATGTATTAAACTCCTTGTGGTCAATAGTGGCTTTTGTGCTTTGTGAAGAGAGAAATATAAATTTTACTCTTTTAATTACAACTGTATATGCCGCTTAATTAATGTATCTTAACTCTAGTAAGTTTTAGAAAATTTAAGTATTAGTTTTTGTGACGTTTATATTTTCTTGAATCCTCGTAATGGATCGCTGGCTCAGGACCGGAAGTTTCAAGAAACTGAAAACACAGAGGAAAACCAATTATACGATAACAAGGAAACAGATGGGACTGTAAGCAATTTAGTTGACAAAGATAAATTACGAAAGATACATATACGTGATGACAGCTGTCTCCAGTTCGGATTTACGCGCTTTGAGTCGGGTTAAACAGATTAAAACCAGTTCAGGTTCTCGTATGAAATTTGATGAATTTACTGACGTCACTGGGTTTTGTGATTTTCTTACATTTGTAAGATACTTAAAAAAGGTTTCAGTTGAAAACTGTTGATGTTTTCACAGTTGGCGCCCGATCGATTATTGGGAAAATGCGTGGTTTTATAGCACACGTTAAAGTAATTGCTCAGAAATTAATTGATATTTATTGTATCATTTGTCATCAAACTTTTATTGTGAAATTACTGAAAACGAAGTTATGCAAAGTGGACAAAGATGGTACATTTTATGAAGTCATTGAATTTAAGAATATCTGACGTAATAGAAGATTTACGAGGCCTACAAGCGAAAGACTATTTTTTCACATGTGGTAGAAAGTTTTCGTTGATTAAAAAAAACTTTTATTTTCGCTCTGATATAACAAGGATTGTTTACAGAACATTTTGAGGAAATAACTGTCATATTAGTAGACGGGTTTGGAAGATACGTAACTTAAATTTTTCGGCTGGGCTGGAAAAAAAGGTCTCAACACTTCTGAAGACTCGAGGCTTTAACTGCTGGACGTACGTACTGGAGGGGAAGGTCTTCACGAGACTCGGAGACTGAAATTATTCCTGTGGACATGTTACAATGTGTGTTAACCAATGGTTACCAGTGGCGACTACTTTCAGCACCGTATATGACGTGACGACTATAGGAAAGGCGATAATGTGACGTACTAAGTTACCTTCGCGAATTAACTGCTGCCACCTTACGACAATACACCGCACTGTTTACTTGTTGAGAAGTTCTTCTCACAGATGGCAGTGCAACGCTTACTGATATACTCTGGTAGCTGTTATCGACTGGCGATTATGGGCCGTGTAAGACGGGCACAAACGCCTTTACAACTAAACGGTAAATTATAAAAGCGATAAATAAACATGAACTCACGTTGTTCTAGTTAACTGGTAATAAATAGACTGCATCGTAACCTTTCTGTATGGAGGAAACGCGATGCTTGTCTGAAGGATGGCGCAGTTTTCATTTGACCACTTCTGCTGGTAATGTCAATGTCACTGGCAGGTTCTCAGACTGTATGTCGAATAAAATGTCTCGAAGGCAGTGACTAAGCAGAGAATTAATTACTACAAATTAGTTTGATCCCAGTTTGTTTTCTCATCCTTTCTTCATGTTATTTACATTCGTATATACAAGGAGACCCACGTTTTCACGACTTGTAGTAACACTTCTAGCACGCGTATATATTTAATTCGGGGGTGGAGGGTGGATATTCATCAGTTCTAAAATACTATAAAATTACCCGTTAATAATGATGGAGAAATCTGAGATAGCAGTATGCATCCTGAGTCAGATGCTTCCAGCTCAGACCCCAAACCGTATTCCCAAGATCCATTTTAATATTATTCTTCCATCAAGCCCTAGGTCTTTGGAGTAGCCTCTTTCTTGCAGGATTTCCAATTATAATTCTGCAGGCTACGCATTTTTCATGTCTCCCACGTGTGCTACATACCCCAACCATCTCAGCCCCCCCCCTGATTTGATCACCCTAATAATATCTGGTGAAGAGTGCATTAGTGGAGTTTCTATTTATTCAGTTTAACATCCTTTAACTTCAACTCTGTCAGGCCCAAAGCCCTGTTCTCATGCATTCCAATATGTGTTATTCCCGTTTAGAGAGGAGACCAAGTTTCATACGCATACAAACCTACAGGTGACATTAAAAGTTTCTTGTGTTTAACCATCGGGTTTTTAGACAGCAGGCAGGAAGACACATGACCCCACACTGCATGGTTTTTGAAGAAAAGTTACACATTAAATTGTAAATTAATTTTGAAATGTTATAGAAATATTGCTTGGAGCAAGGTTAATATGTATTACATGGAATTTCAATTACTGGAAGTTTTATCTGTTAATAACATTCCTCAAAAGTTTACATTTCCCAATGAACATTGATTTTAAAAGCCTTTATAGGAACTGCACCCACATCTGTCTTGCCTGGTTTCCAATAATAGGACGGTACTCCGGAATGCATCGCATTCTTTGGACTCAACCTTCACAGGAGAGGAAATTTCACGACAATTTTCGCCTAAATTCTTTTGCATGTATCTCCTGCTTACATGTTGTGATATCGCACGAGATTCTTGTATATTTATGACCAGGTATTCCCTGCTGTCTGTTTCGATACGTGTAGATAACAGTTTAAGCGTTTCTTGCCTAAGGTAGTTGTAGTTTAATAACCGCATTAAAATACACGTTCAGAAAAAATTATTTCTTTTAAATACTTTTTTTTGAATCCCACAAAACAGAAATGCATTTATGTATTTCAATAAATATTAAGAGTAGGCCTCCAAGGAAATGCAAAACAGAGACAGTAACTTGGTTTTCTAGTGTTGATCGTAATATATCATGTTTCATGGTAACGCGAATTACTTTGGACAGGTTAATATGAACTGCAGAGGAAGGAAATTAGTTCCATAATAATAGCAGTGTAGCTTAAATTTCTGGCTTCAATCATGTTTGCTATTCAGTACTCAGATCATCTGCCCTTAGTTTCAGTATGTTCGACGTGACCTGGACTTTACCTGTAAGACGATATTGCCAGCCATAGCGTTTGGATATGTCACTTCGTGTTAGTCTCCATGACATTTAGGAAAATGACCAGCGATATAATTGTCCTGATACCTGGGTTTCCGTCACAGTAATTTGACCGCATACCAAGCGAAATTACACAACACAATGTGCCTGAAGTGAACCAAGTTTTTCCATCGGGTTCTCATGTTGAATTGTCGAAATTACAAAACTGATTTTGATCAAATAATTGTAGATTCATCGCCCATGCTTCCGATAAAAGCAATGTAGATTATGTGACATTTGAGGTTTTATTTAATCAAGATGGAGGTTATACATTTTTTACGTAACTTTGCTAACCACCTATAAAACTGCACTTCTCCGCTACTCAAAATACCACAGTCTAATATAAATTACTTTTCGCAGATCGGTTATAATTATAAAGAAAAAAAAACTTATTGTACTCATTCTGGATTGTAGCGCCGTATAGTCTGTTAGATGTTTACCGACATTTCAGAGGCTCTTCTTGCCTCCATCATCAGGGCGATGATTATATGTATCGCTTTCTTAACGACACTGTAACCAAGACATAACTTAACAGTAAACAAGAGAAATTGTATCCAGTACGTAGCAAGTTATCCGTGTCGTGACATTTATCCTGGTTTTAGAACGCATTTACAATGCTGCAATACTATATCGCATTAAAGTGTGTGGGCGTCTGTGTGTTATAAATGTATGCCGCGCTATATTACTCAGAACCGAAATATTCCCATCGGGGAACCGATGGGGGAACTCAAACCCGTAGGCTCTGCCCTCTCTCCAGCTGTCATTAGTAATTACATTTCCGTCCGAGTGAGTCACAGTCAGCCTGGTAGTTAAATTCCTCGTGCAAGAACGCCGGGATTCACAGCACGTGACCTCATGAGATGTATCTGGGGGATTCCCAGCGCTCTATGTTTGACCATTTAGTTGGTGTCCTACGACGAATTTTGTCCAAGTTTAAAGGTTTCTGGAGATGCTTTTTTTTTATAATGAGGCTTTTAATTATTCTAATGGACTTTATCCATCGTCTCTGTTTTTAAACCACTTTTCGGAAGTTGGTTAAAGTAACGGGTAGGACTGTGGCCTATTCTGTTGAGTGCCTGGCCGAGGTAGATTCAAGACTGAGACTGGGTCGAGCTGGAGGTCCGATAAAATAGGCGTCTGTCCTCCCACCTGCTACCTGAAGACGGAAGTAGGACCAACTTTTGAAACGACGTGGTTTAAAACACGTAGAATATGGATAAAATCCAACAAAAGAAATGTCAATTGCGCCGCCTTGCATTTGGATGTTTCAGGTCTATTCAGTGGTATAAAATATTAAAAGATAATTATTCAGATATTCAAACATGGGTATTGATCAAATTGAGCTTGTAGCATTCTTATAATGTTGATTCCAAATTGACCAGTTGTCAAAATGTGTTGTCTGGAGTGAAATTACCTTAATGAAATTTGAGTTTCAAGTTTTTAATTATTGAAACATTTATTTGGATTTCGACAACCACTGTCACTGGAGACTAAAATAAAAGTTTCTCACAAAAATTGCATGCCAATGCTTCTCAGTCGACTGTTATTTGATTACAATACGTCATTAATACAAGGTAGAACAGTTACACTGGTTATTTCTTGAACTCACCCAAACTTTCTCTTGTTTGTGGCGATAACTGAAGTTCGTCACGTGATACAGCAGTAAGTTGTTAACGCAGTTGGTAATTTGTATGAGGCGTCATTTGGGGAATTCCAGTTTGTAAACACGCAAGCTTATATGTCTCCATGTCATTGGTTGTCTATAGAAGCGGGAATTTTACACACAGAAATCATTTCTGGCATATAACATAGATGCCCTGTTACTTTCCGTTTTATGGTCTGTTTTGAAATGCTCGGTTTCTTTTAATCTAAAGTATCACTGTCTCAGCATTTAGGCTAATTGTGATTTGGTCGATTTCGAGCTCTTTGCACGTTTGCAATACAGCAGTAGTTCCAGTTTTGTTGTTACGTTGGTACGACTGATTGTACAATTCCATTACTTCTTTGTTAAGAAGAACTCACCTGATTGACAGAGTTAATGGACCGTCCTGAATTGGGACTTCGCTCTCCCATACCTAAAGAAACAGGGCATTGTACAGCCTCTGAACTGTTGGAAGGTGTTGTGATTTGATGTGTTACAACACTGATACCTTTTACAACGCATCTTTTAAATATTATTATTATTATTTATTATTAATTGCAAATGGGTTTTTACCCGGTGGCAGTGGCCGGTTCTTTTAGACTATGAAGTTGCTTCAGATAATTGTCGATGAGAGTTCGCTAAAATAAATTTTACACATTTAAAAAATCTGTACATTAACGGGAAGTATGTTCCCCCTCTATTTTGAAGGAGTGGACACAAACCCATAAACCCATTTTTCTGTCTTGAGAAAGGAAGGTATGTTAAAAATTACGCGTAGTTTATATATCGGTTTGATAGTGCAGACTTATAAACTTTCCCTGAAGCATGTCGTTATGAAGGCTTACCCAATCGAAAAATGAAAGAAGCCATTTCTGTAGGAATTATTCAGATAAATATATTTTTCTTTGCATTTGAAAGTTGTTTCTTAAGCGTATATTCGTCCATGCATCTGTGTCCATACTTAACCGTCATCTGGCGGTATTGAAAGTCCCCTTTTCGCATTCAGATTATATAAATAGAATAATTTTCTGAGTTAGGTTAGACGTGAAGGACACTTGAAGAGGAAGGAGATAAGTGTCGTATGAAGTTGATAGTGAACTGCTGGACTCAGGGGTGCACAAATCGTCTAAAACTGAGAAATGCATACGAATAATTAATTATCTTGTTTGATACAAATCACTGTAGTAAGTGTTCGCGAAACATGCTTCGCATTCGATTGATATGAATTTTGATTTTCGAAGATTACAAATTAGATTTTTGTAGATTCTTCTAATTATTCCACGTTCCTTTTTTTTTTTAACAATTTCCCAGCTTGTCGCGAACTCTGTCTCTTTGTAAGATTGTACTAAAATTCGCAATTGTGTGGTTATTATTCTTGCTTCGTATTCACTAGGTCCTGATTTCAAATCTCGACCTGGAGTCTGAAAATGGTGTTTGAAGTTCTTCGTGGTTTTATTCAGTCTTTCATGTATAATACATTCTGGGATAAACCGTTGCAACCTGTAACAGACGCTTCTTTTCTAATCTATAATTTACAACGAATCGACGCTAGGTACATTACTTGCAGACTTTGGAAAGCGTCGTTGAATGACTGAAGTTATCATACCAGCATTGCCACAGTTTTACTATTTAACGGATGACTGTCTTCTGGGATGTGGCGTAGTGTAGTTTGGTAGAAATTTACCGACGTTTCGGAGACGCTTCTATAAATAGATCGAACCGCCTTGGAGGAAGCAAGAACCTCTGAAACGTCTGTAAACGTCTGCAAAACTACGTGGTTGGAAATCCCAGTGGATAGTTATCTTCATACTCTTTGCCGAGAGAACCTGAAATCTCACCTTGATTGTTTGCGTTTCTCTGGTTGGTTTACACTGCACTGTATGAGATAAATCAAATAAATTAGGAGTATAAGGGTTAAATGATGGTGGAACTGAGAAGTCGCTACCGTAATTTGCCTCACTGTGGGGCTAATCCTTTTCGGCGTTTGATGTCTTCAAAGAAATTCTGTCTTCAGATCAGGGTTGGGCAGACCACTACCAGCGGCGGTATTTTGATACGATAACTCTTTAGTTTCTAATTTATCATGTAATGTAGAATACGCATTATAATTGCAAAACTAAGCAAGACAAAAATTAGATTTTGACGGAAATAGAGTTTTAAGTTTTACAGTACATCACCAAGTAATGTATTTATTTATTTACGCAGTGGTTACCGATAATTTGATTTGGATAGGTAAAGTGACGGGCTTTGGTGTTGTCAGTGTTGGACCTGAGGGTTCTGCTACCAGGAAGTTAGTTAGATCAAGTGGGGTCCATTGCATACACCTGTCAGTGTGTGTCGTAACACTCTGAAAGCATAAACCACAGTTCAGGATATCCTACACGAATTAATCTTGCAACAACTAACTGCGGGGAGCAAAGTCCTTGAGAAGCTGATAGTGCACTCAGTTCAGAAATTCCCTTTCTTTTATGGAACTCCAAGTTTTATTACTGCGTTTACAAGACCTCATCTCCGATTGTAACAGCTGTTTCAGCGGTCAGTAAGACGAGTTTCGGCTTCATAGGTTTAACATTGCACTGATTTCAGTAAAACATTTTTTATGTAAACAGAAGATGGTTTTTCTTCTGGGTTGTAGCTTCTTGTAGTCTGGTAGAAGTTTACCAATGTTTCAGAGGTCCTTGTTGCCTGTATAATCAGGGCGATGAACATTACCCTGATGATGAAGGCAGCAGGACTCTGAAACGTTGGTAAACTTCTACCAGACTACACTCCGCTACAACCCAGAATCCAGCCATATTCGGATTAACCGCTTTGAAAACTTTTTTCTTATGTAGTTTTGTATTAAACAAAGGGATATAAACTATGTTCAGACGTTGAGAATAATTCAGAATTGTTATTAAACTGTGTAATTGTTCTCACCACGCTCTCTGGCTCCCACTGAAAGGTAATCAATTGCCCACCATCGCCACTTAATGACGAAGCGGGACGTATCTCACAAAAGTCTGGGTATAAAGTTGCGATAAATATTTTTCTGCCGGGTTGTGTTGATATTAATATATTATTATAAATAAGAGCACAGAAACTTTATTAAGGGGTTGTAACTTTAGTAGATTTTAACTACAAGCAGATAGAATTAATCACGCGTGACTCCTGATGATTCCTGACATGAAGCTACTTATTAACACGTTGAACATATGGTACGTTCAAGTTCTTTGGGGACGGTTGTAACAAATGAAAATCACATTAATTCGGGAATAAATGGCTCTAATTCATTTGAGAATCTTTTGTATTCCCCATTCTTTACAGAGAACTGGAAAGAGGGGTAAACTTCAGTAGCTGTTTTGTGTAGATCCGAAATGTTGTTTCACAGACTTCAGGGAAGATAATGAATTTAAGGGCGGCGTGTACAAGGAAATTTTATCTATTCTTCACAACGTCGTCACTGACAAACCCTGCGGTCACGTGATTAATTCGTGACACCTCATATACAATCGCAGGTACTTCCAAGGTGACGAGGCGAGGGCGAAAGTTTCCTCCTGGCGTCCATTTGCCGATCTGCGCACCGAGTGAAACTCAGATTTCGCTTGTGTATGGCAAGCCACCCACATTTGCCCGCGTCCTTTTCACTGAATACAAAAAGTCGTATGACGTTATTCCCACACTCTCAGTGGTTTATTTTCTTATTACTTTTGAATGTTCTAAAAGTGGCAAGACATTAATTAGTTGGCGGGACGAATTTGCGTCTGAATAGGTCGCTCCTTTTACATGTTGTCATGTGTTTCGGTAAACGAGGCGCCTTCCCGTGGAACGTCAACAGATGTCACCCACAGTGTAGTGGATGCAACTTCCGAATGCCACGTGATCGAACCCCGTTCGCATTTCCTTCCGCACTGACTCCCACATGAATTTGTGCTGACAGCCCAGTCCCCAGCGAGCCTATTGCTTTATTTGCAACTATTTAAATGTGTGCTATTGGAACTTCTTTTGTCAGCATTTACTTACTTTTTTGTAGAACGTTCATAAAATGTAGAATTTGTGTCTTTCCTTCCTTCTGTCTTCATTTTCCGCCTTGATAACTGCTCAGGGGATTGTAATTAAGGAATCATCTGGGTAATATCGTTTTGATTCGGATCGTTCCAACACAACCTTTACTTCACATGAACATCCTGATGATGGAGGCAGCAGGTAATTCTGAAACGTTGGTCTTCTTACTCGCAGCTCGCCCGGAGCCACGCCGTTTTTACCCTCAGTAGTGTATTTATCTCAGACTTCGGAAGGCGTGCACTGTCCGTTCATGATGGTCACACCGCGAACACTCGGTTTGCCCCCAGACGTGAGAGGAAATATCCAGCTGAAGTGCTTGCTACAGTTATATGTCATCCTCGTTTTCACCACGACCAGGAAATCCCAGTCCGCCAGTAGAAGCCTTGTGTATGACTTTCAGTATGGCACAATACGGAGATGGACAGATAAAAATTGCCTTACCTAAGATGTCGTAACGATGCTGTAACGATCAACGTCATTATTTGATAATGTCTTGCAATTGCAGGAACATCATACAGACTATTCGCCATCTCGTCCACACCGCATAGTCTGGTAAAAATTTGCCGACGTTTCGAGTCCTTGACAAATTATGGTTGAATATGATTTTTGACATTTAATTAAATAATTTTGCTCATTAAGGTGTGAATTATGGAGGTTTCTTGCACTCAGTGGGACACAACTGTTCAGATCATGTCTACATTATCGACAGAAACCATCTCTGGTTTAAGGGGTTCATATTAAAGCCAAGAAAGGCTGTAGGAAAGGGCGAGTTCTTCGATTTTAACCTGTTAAAATGTCATTTTATCATTGCTCTGTGCTTGCCTGTCACCGTTCCATCAGGATTACGATTGCCCTGACCAAGATACGGGTCTGCTGGCTTCATCTTTCAGTCCTCACTTGGCTGGTGTCAGAGTAAAAGTACTCAGTATTTGTCTTATATGGGTTTTGTGCCACTCATATAACTCGCTAAGAACTGAGTGTGACGTCAGGCGTACTGTCTATTATGCCGATAGAATGAATCTCATATATCGTTCATTTGACAGTACCTGCTTTAATTATCAATAACGCTGCATTATTTCCACACAGTGTATTTATTTCAAACACTTTTCTGTGTAAACAGCGATTGATTACTTAAACAGCGTTAGCCACTTGATCTTTGTAATGGTGAAGTGTTTTCTTCGCGGTACGGACTGAATATTAAATATTATCGAGACGAGCTTCGGGTTTAAAGGGCGAATGAAAGGTTTGTGATTAAATACTCGAGAACCAGTGAATGGACAACGTAACTTGAAAGAGGTTGTGAAATTTGGGTGAATCTGTATCCATGCGCCGTAGACTAAGAAAGTCCGAATTCTGCGGTCCAGATCACAGAACTGTGGTGCAGATAATTTCGCCTCGCTATTGATCTGGAATTGTGAACGAATTTACGTGACCACAGTGTGCAAGTCGTTTTGGGACTGCGTCGAGAAATTCTTTTTCTTCTTCGTTCAGTGTTTTGATTTAGGATTTGGCAGATATTATAAGAAGTTCCCTCAGGTATCGTCTTGAACGGATGGGACTTGGCTACAGCGTTACGTAGTTCTCTAGTGGGAATTCAGCGGAACTGACGAGCGGAACCCAGTGGCACAACGCCATTTGTAGCGGCTGATGGTAGGAAGGGAAAATAAATACCGGAACATAACAGAGAAACCAAGGAAATAAGAAAAGAATGAAAGACGAAAAGAAAAGAAAAGAAAAGAAAAGAACTGCGTCGTTTGTAGCTTAAAGTTGAATTGATTTCTGACTGCTCTGTGTTAGGTCAGTCTGTAATTGAGATGACCGAAAGTTACGACCGAACCATTCGTGCTTCGTATCCGGGACGTCCCGGTGTCATATATCGGTTCTGAGACGGCCATCCTGACGGTCGTGGCTTCATAGTTTTCCTCAGTCCCTGCAGGCGAATACCAGAGTAGTCCTGAAGACCTCAACTGCTTCCATCGATAACCTTCCCCTTTCTTTGTAACGACTAATCATCTGTCATTGTCTGATTTACTGACAAGGGTGAGTTGTGTCGTTACTACAAAATGAATGACAGGGGCTCGATTCCCGATTTCTTTTAAGCCCTGTGGTCAGATCGGCTCTGGGGGCCCCATAGCCTCCTATGCAATGCGCATTTGTGTTCTCACAGACGTTGAGGGAGAGCCTGAATACAAAACCCCATTTGACGTTATCCTTTGACCTTGAACTTGTGCTACTTCTTTCAGCGCATGCGCAGAATGGAGACGGTCACAGATAACTTGACCGTTTCGGCTGCAAGCTCATTTCGCGCTTGAATTGGACAAAAAACAACTCGGAACTCTGAACTTATTTTCACAACCGAAATACATAGAAATAGTTTACGGTTTTGTTTTGTTGTCTACCTTCCGCCCACAGGAAACTCTGTTTACCGCAAATCCTTATCTCTCTTCAGCGAACCGATTACGTTACGTTCCCAATTTCGTGTCTCC